TCAACTAAACCCCTATATATGTGTAAAAATATTAATATTATTTCAGTACGGTAAGATCAATATTACATTACTTTATAATAATATAATGGACTCCGTGTAGCTTTTTCCCACTCTAAATAAATGTAACGTATCATTTCAGTCATAAATCAATCAAAATAATGTAAAAAATTTCACATCATTATATATATATATATATATTTGTTTGAAGTTGTATAATATTTTTATTCACAATATGTTGCATTTACCTTAAAATACGTGTAGCTATATCTCTAACAACACATTAACGAAATATATGTAATTATTTAATGATATTATTTTACACGTACCCAATTAGCAAGAATTTACACACATTTAGTCTTAGCGTAAGTGTTATCTAAAGTTTACAATTAGTGAGATCAGTGACGTATTTTATACCTAACTCAATTCAATATTCTACACGTAATTAATGTGAATTTGCACAATACCGAAATTTGCTGATCTAAAAATAATTTTACAATTTCGTCATATGTTACAAATCTCATTGTTAAACTGTAGGCAGCTTGTTAGATATTATTAAAACACTCCTTGATTTAACAGGACCTTATTTTTTCCGATAGAGTTTTCTTAAGTTTTTTGTCTTACATTTATATATGTATTATTTATTTTATTATTTTATGTATCATATATAGTATATAAATAAAACAAATACTTAAGATATTTAATATTTGAAATCGTTTAATACTGGTATTAACTCTTTATTACTTGTTTTCTAAAACCGGAACCGGAACGAGATCCTTTTAATAAAAAAATTAATTGCTGAAACAAGAACCGGAACCAAAATAAAACAAAAGGTACCAGTCCTTGGTTTCAACAATATTCTGCTTCTGAACATGAAATTTAAAACAATAAATATTATTATTTAACCATTAAATATCCTGGATTAAAAAAATTAAAAAAATATATATAATATATATATATTGAAAATACAGTATAAATCATGATTAAACACTCTTAATTTTATAGCATATTTTAATTCATTAAATTAGAATAAATAATAATGGTCACTATACCTTATCACGAATTTTTTTGCACTATGGTATGAATGAAATTACTTGTGTGATGCATAATGACCAATACAATCAAAAATCAATTTTACTTGTTTTTTCAAGCAATGGAGTGTTGTCAATTGATAACTTTTCTGTTTGTGCTACCTTATGTCATTAAAAACAAGCTTCCAAATACTTATTATAAATGATTAATTAAAAGATTATAATTTATCTAATAAAGATGAAAAAAATTAATCAGGTTTTCTTGAAACAATAACGGGCTACAGTCATTTGGTCATCTGAAATTGGTCATTTGATAAATTGATCTTTTGAAAATTATTTATTTTCAAACAATATAATGTTACATACAAATTGTATTTTTTCGTAATTGTTCTTAAAACAACATATAAAAATATGTGTAAAAATTATTATAAATTACGAGTTATCCCTGATATTTATTATATTTATCAATTAATTTTCTATTTTTAGATATTTTAGATATTGCATTTATTTTCTCAGCGGTGTCGTTATATTTTTTCCTTTTTTTAGAGATTTCCGCTCCAATACAATATTGGACTATTTTCAAACGGTTTAGCCTGACAGTTTAAATTTGTACACACTGTTATTCAACTTATTATCGCAAAATGTATAATAATGATTATTGTCCATTTTTACCTATATATAGCGTTATTAAACCAATATTCATGTTTTGCGATAAAAACATACTTCGGCCAATTTATTAAACAGCCAATTTACCAAATGACTAATTTTACCATGACAAATTGACGTAAACTCAACCATAGCTATTACATTTATACTATTATTATATATTTTACCATACTGATATTTACTGGCAACAATAATATAACGTTCACTCTATAAAATATGTTTAAATAACTTTAAAATAAATAATAATAATTTAGGACTGAAAGGGTTAAATTGTTTAGTGACATAATGATTTACTCGTTTACAAGTACACTACTTAAGATCACCGGTAAACAAATACAGTTTAAAATCTATTGATGGTATTATTAAAAATAAATTATAATCAAACGGTAACTCTTATTATAGTAATAAGTTACAGTCATCTCGGAATTGTGAATGAGATACTTAGCAGTTAACAGAAACTTTTTATGCGTCTTAAAATTAAATCATAAAAAATTTACATTGAATAATGAGTAGTGGTTTAATAGCGGTATAATATTTAAAACCCAAGAACCGTTTTATTATTTTTTTTTTGGAAGTTCAGTTACTCACGATCAAATTTCCATTACGTGCTATTCGTTGAAGAACGATTATTTTTGCTTGGAACACGTTGGTCTACTCAGATTTTTTCTCTCAAAAATCAGACTATATTTTAATATGCTTGATAATTAAAATTATTCGAAGTATTCTCTACTGCAGAACGGAGAGAATAATTTATTTTAATTTTTTTAAATTTGCAGTCAACTCATTTTTACAGTCGAGAGAACCTACGGAAATTATACGCAATAACAATCGAATCTTCTAATCTATCCAGCCCAAAAATATTTATTTAAAATAATATATATATTCGAATAAATAATTCGATTTAATCCGATTGTCAGACAGTAGAATATTCTTAGACACTGTATGCTGGTCAATATTATGCTTCGCTATATGTTTTCTATAATATCATGTCATATGCAAATCACTTAGTTCATAGCTACTCGTTCAAATAAGAGATTCAATTGGTACATAAACTGATGTAATTTATATTATATACAAAGTGATTCATTAAGCATGCACATTTCCAATTTTATCATTCAACTATACATCTAAAATATTTAAATACTGGCTTTTGCAATTACTAAGTATACTTAATGATCATAATTTAAAATATTTAGATTGTGTTTATTACCGTAATATATTAATTTTCATGCCACATGACTATACAAACTTCTGTTTTTTTTTAAACGAGAACCGTCGTTTTTTATTTTAAACGATTATGCGCAAAATATTAATTGGTTGTAATATCTCATCTAGTACTTATTAATTATTAAATTCAAACGATGTTCACCAACCGTATAAAATGCTTATGAATTAATATTGATAATAATAATATATTTTCAAATACTCATTCGTACAATATTCCCATATTATATATCTACGTACTATCGTGAACCATAATAATTATCCTTGATAGAATATTATATAAAGTTTAGTTTACAGGAACTACTTACTTATTCGAATTTATTCTTATTTAGATATAACAATATCTTCAAAATAATCATTTAATAAATAATGTATACAGTAAAAAAAAAAAAAAAAAATGTTTTAATTTTAAAATTGTTACTTTAATTTATCATCACTGAAATCTAAACATGATCATAATTCATTATTAATAACAATAATAACTAATAAGATACATTTAGATTATAATAGCACAATTATTTGTGGTATTAATTTTGATTACACCGGTGGCCTAGATAATTATTGAATAAAAAAAAAATCGAAATAAAAACGATTTTACAGTCACTGTTTGACGATTGATGCGCGCGCACGCATCGACATTTGGCTATGTTTTTCGACATCGAATCATCGTAATGATATAATACCTAATACTACCTATATTGCTCTGTTATGATATCATATCGACTGGTTTAGGTTAGGTGAATGCCGCTATACACAGCGGGTAATTAATATACTATTATAATATTATTAGATTCATCTTAACGAACGGTCGGTCGTAGTTGCCAAAATAGATAAACGCGTCATCGTTTTTTTCTTCTTACACGCACGCGTTGGATCTACATTTAAGGATACAAAAAAAAAAACTACCGCTTCGTTTCAAGCTTTTGGAACGGGTCCACAGTATGAAAATTCGCTAGAAATCAGCCCGCGCCTGTAATTCGATACAAAACAATAGATCAGTCTGTTTACTTAGGACGGTAAAATTTGATTGTGGACCAACAATGTTTTTACATTATATACGCACGCGAGAAAAACTCTAAAATACACTCGTCAGGTATTACATTATATTATGCGGGAACGCATTTTCTATACCCGAAACCCTGTCTAAAAAAAATAAATAAATAAATCACTCATAATGCCACGAGTCGTGACCTGCAATACCCGTCGTACACGGAGGCGACGGTGAAAAATTTTAATATCATAATATAATATAATACATTTTTAAATTTACAATATAAAGTATAATAATATACAACGCATCCGCCTCTCGGTCTCGGTGAATCCACCCGCAAACTTTGACGACAGCAATTTTATTTTTACTTAAATAAACGTTAACCCGTATTTCATGAGAGATATAGTACATGTGGCTTTAATAATAAAAAAAAAAAAAAAAAAAAAAATAGAAAAATGAAAACGATATGTTTAAATTACAATTCAAAATATTTTGGTTAGGTGATCCTAGCATGAGTTTTTTTTCCGATTGACAGTTGCGTAATTAGTAATTATAAATTAATTTATAAAATTCAATAAAACAAAATGATGTGGGAAAGGCTTTTTAATACTAGAAGTACACTATTACAGTTAAAATAAATAAAATCGAAAAAAATGACATCCGTTTTTTAACGTCTTTAGTACTTATTGATTATTTCAATTTTTTTTTTTTTTTAAACGATTTATATCTATGCTTGTATGTTTTAATACATTATTTTTAAAAATAATCAGTCATTATCTTCAAAATCTACTTTCAATTATATAACTTATTCTTACATGCTGAATTCAGGAATACAAGAGTATAGTCTGCTCTTAACAACTGCTATAGATGTCGATAATAATATTTTCATTGTTAAACATTTTCGGGATTGTCGGTTTAGGTTTTTAAAAATCCATTCACATTCTGTGTCTCGTAAAAATATTTCACATCACTGGGGCCGATCTTCTGCCATTTGTTATTTTCGATTGATTTTTATTTTATTTTCCTCCACCGATCTAGTATAAAAATATAACACAACAATCGAGTGAATTTAAATTTTTATGTCCATACAGATCTTCAATACTGGTTGTTTCGTGTCAATAGCCAATCATTTCGGGGCACCAGTCGTCGGTATTACCTCAACCAGTCTCTATCCATGGTTCAGCGGTATGGTTGGCGACGTAGTGATGCCGTCTTATGTGCCGGTAAACTTGTTACCGTTCACCAGTCGAATGATATTTGCTGAACGCTTGATTAACTCCATGATTCTGATAGCGATGAAAACGTATTACAAGTTAAGATACGAGCCGGCGGTAAGAATGATATTATTATATTATGTGCAAACGTTAAAGTGATATTGTTATGATGTTATATTCATGGGATTTCAATTTAAAGGCACTGAAAATCCACTAAACGTTTTCTTAAAAAAATGTCTAAACATGCTTTACAGAATTTTTATAAGCCATTTAAAAACGGAATTATTATTTTTGCTTGTTGTATGAAAAAATATAAAATAAATATTTAAGTAATAATGTATTATTATAATACTAGAAAAATTCATAAATAAAATGCTAATTCAAAAATAAGAAAAGTTATGGGAAATATTGAGATCTATAGAAATTTATAGAATTCTATAAAAGGATTACCCATACGTGGTTTTCGAAAAATGGACAATTCTGTATAACAATGAAACATTATTTTATTGTTTTTATTCTTAAATCGATTGTTATTTAATTTGTCGTTATTTCATATTTTATTATTATTGACAATCAAACACTATAATTTTAAAATAGACATTCAATCCTGAAAACTCTACAGCCGGTCATGAAAATATGATTAAAAATAAGATGATTTGTGTTTACGAATCTATATTATTTACTATTTACCAGCACAAATAAATATTTTCTGTGGTTTTTATAGGCTCAAGCAATCGTCGATAAATACTTAGGAAAGCTTAATGGTGGTACAGTGTCCGAATCCTTGAAAAATGTGAACGCCGTCATCATGAACACACACTTCGTGTTTGGAGACTCCCGACCACTACCACCAGGTATTATTGAAGTCGGAGGGTGCACGTATAAGAAACCAATACCCTTGCCGCCAGTGAGTACCTATCTATAATATAATTTATAATAATAGATCAACACTCGTTGTGGTGCTCGTATGATTCAAATGTGACGTTTGAATCTAACATTATGAACAAATTTTTATCGACCTAAACGAAAAATCGAAAATGTGAATTTGAACATTTATTGAAGAAATCAGTCTTAAACAAAATAAATAATTTAATTTTAGACTATTTTTTTTACTCTAATCTGGTGATGAATGTAATAGTTTTATAATGATGAATTGTTTTGTTTTTTTTTTTTTTGTTTTTTAGTATGTGTGTATGACGTATGTCTTACATTACCTTTAGCAGTGGTAAAAATGCTACAAATTTAAACTTTGAAAATAATTTCTATCATAATACAACAATGTTTTATACTCAATACTCAAACAATTTTTATTGTTTATTCATTAATGTATTTATCATACATATTTGATTCGTGCCACTAATAAATTATCATTTTCTATACAAAATGAAATTTTTAAAATGTTTAGATCAATTTTAAGTTATTTATACCGTACCAAGCTACGTCAATATTGGCTTATAATTAAATAACAGCAAAGAATATTATATGAAATAGTTTTATAGGTTAGGTCATTTTTATTATTTAATAATATAGGTATAAAATTTGTTTTTAGTAAAAATCAGTTCAATCTAGTGTATTACTATTGATTATAGAATAGACTATTCTAAAAAATTTTTTACTAATAGCTACATAAATACACGATAAGATATAAATAAAGACTGTTTTTGCTCAAAAATTTTATATGTATTGATACAATTATTAAGTATTTCTTTAAATTCAAGTTTAAATAATACAACTTATTCTTTACAGTGATTTACTTTATGACAAGGTTAGCACAACACACTTAATATAGCGGCAGCAGCTTCTCTAATTTTGTAACATTGGGTATTTTTAATTTTTCTTTTCAAATGACAACTCGTTTATTTTTATTTAAATTTCTGAAAATCTTGGTTTCTTAAATATTAAAAAATTTATAAATAGGTATTTAAATAAACAAGATATTTATAAATATTTCGGAAACAGGTAAAACTTTAAAAAAAATTATTAATAATATAATTAACGATTGTTAACCAAAGTCTTATCATTTATAGTATTTAATACATACACCTACTAACTAAAATTTTCGAAATGCATTATATTTAAAGTATAAGTTCAATAAAACTATATTCTGTAAAATATCTTCATTACAATAAATATTTAAAATCTGCTGTGGAAAAGAATTTAATTATACAAACAAGAAATTCAAAAAAAAAAAAGTTTTACCTATAATATGGATATAAATATATTATCTGGCTGTACTTTGAATTTAAAATATTTACTATTGTATGCCTATACATAAAACAGTTTTTGCTACATGAGACAGAATATTTACTACGTAATATATGTACAGGTTTTTTTAAAACAAATTCTATTTGTTTAAAAATAACTTATGAATGTCAGTTTCATATTTTTCATTCATCATAAATTTCACACGATGTGGAACAAAAAATTTTATTCAGATATCAATATGCTTTTAGATATTATAGTAAATAAATAAACATTATTCGTAGATGTGTATGACGTTGAAAGATATTTTATATATTATTCGAGCACGATACGATGTGTGCTATTGTTTCTTAGTTTCACACATTTTTAGTAAAAATGAAATATTGATAGAGCTATTCAATACTTTGATGACATGCTAGGTTATTTCACAAAATGTCGATCAACTGCTATGCTAACCAAACTTCTACTACTTAAAAAATTATAATTAATTTACTATTCGGTCAAAATTCAATTTTTATAGTAAAATACTTAAAAATATATTCTGCTTTAGTAGGTATATGAAATTAGAAATGTATGATATTATTAAAAACGTACAAAATTAAAAAAAAAAAACAATATTAAGATAAAAATATTAAAAATATACCAAATTATTTTTAAAAATATTGTTTTCTAGTAATTTCAAAAATAATGTGTTTTACCTTTAAAAGACTCAGCATGTATAGATTTTATTCGTCGTGTGAGAGAATATTTAGACTGATTGAAAATGAATTTTTTTTATGTTTTTCGTACGATTCGACGACGGTATTCAATTTTAGTTTATTCTAACGACGGAAACAATATTAAATAATATATATGTATATAATTTTGGGTCTTCGTTTTATATTAGATTCTTTCAAATGAAAATAGTTTTTTTCTTTTTATAACCGAAACATGGAGATCCTATAAAAGGATTGTACTCTAAACCCTTAGATTTTCATGGCTGATTTTAAAAGAGTTGATTAAACGAACTTCAAAGAATAGTAATCTTTATTCAAAGCTCAGGCATAAATAAATACACTCATATTTTTATAGTATTATTTACTAATGAAAAAAAAAGAAGAATACCCAATTTTCTGAAACAGGTAATCTGAGTTGTAGCTTACATACCTACCTCCTACTCTATTCTGATACCGATTTAAAAACACTTTCAACAAAACTATAATTTTATTTTTATTATTAAGATAAGCATAAAACTATAGCTGGGACATTGGCTGACATTTTTAATTATATATCAATATTATTTTTCTATATTTATATAATAACAATATTATTGGTTACTATTTAATGCAATAATAATAATAATAATAATAATAATAACAGTTTTGAATATTATTTTTACAATAAATTACACTAAGCTAATTTTATTTATTCTAATATATTTCTATAATTATTTGATATATTCTATTATATTATATTTTGCGTTAACGATTGGTATTTAGGGATACTGCTGTCTTAAAACTTTATGATATTCGACAAAATAAATATACTTTTAATTTATAATAATAGTCTTAAAAACATTACAATCAATTAAAATGGAACATTTAGCTTTTATTAAAAGAAAAAACTGATTAGTTAATAATAATATTTTATTCTATTATTATCTATTCATAGAATATTAAATAATTATAAATACAATTTATATCAGACTCAATTAATTGAACCTAAAACTCTACATGAAATCATACATTAACTACTAGAAGCTAATAAAATATTTTTATATTATATCAGTTTAATATCTTAATTTTTGTATATTATTGACTTTGCAGTATTTTTTAAATAAATTGAAATTTAAAAGTAATGCTTCATAATAATTATTGTGATTATAGGTGCATAACTAATGAAAATACTATCTTTAAAATGATTATAATAAGTAATCACAAACTCCTTAAATTCATTACAATAAATACAATTTAACTCTCTTACTTGTTAATTTATTATTCCAATATTTTTCAAATTATTAAATCAATTTTTTAAGTACCTAAAACTTTAGAATACATAGTTACTGAAATATTATTTTAAAACACCTTATTTTTTACAATTTATGTACTCATAGCATTTATTATAAGTATACATTTTATTATGTAATGCAGTTAAGAAATAACTTAAGACCCTTGTAATTATGTTGGTATGTATTCAAATTATATAGTTTTACCATGAAACATATTATTAAAAAACAAAATATGTTAACATTTAAAAGAACGTGTACCTACATATTAATTACCATAAAAATATAAGATATATTAAATCAATAATATAATTTATTATTGTACTTCTATGTCAAAATAATAAAATGTACTTTGGACAACAGATAACGAATAGTTGTATGATGTGTAAATATAGGTTTATGACTTGAAGTTTGACTATTGGCGATTTGATTAATTTGTACACAGTTATTATTATCTAGCTGTTATTAGAATGTGATCAATCTCGTCATGACATAAAAAAACCATAATTTCATAGATAAACCATCAACAAGTTCGTTAAAGTGTAACTTTGTTCGATAAAATGAGGAAAATTCATTAAACGAAATCGTTTTAGTTAAAAAAATATAATCATTTTCATGAGTTCACCGGTAATAGTATTGTAAATTGTAATCAACCGAAAGTTTATACTTATTCGCCGTTAAGAGTGTATACAGAATTACTTCTGTAGGCCATTTAAAAGTAACAATATAATCGTTTGATATATTATTCGCTATTTAAACGATTTATATCTCATGCAGTTTCACAACGTTTAATTCGAAAAATTAAGTGTTAAGTCGTTGACATGACGACACTCATTTTAAAGAAAATAATGATAATACAATTACACAAAACTATATAATATCCATCTTACTCGGAGAGCTGTAGAGTATTGTAAATAAGAAAAAAATATCTAAATTAAAATATATAAAATTAAGATAAACATTAGTTGTTTATTATACTGTTTGTAAATTGGGTAATAATTATACGAGTAGTCATTGTCATCGTCTCTCGGATGGTTTCATCGTGTTTTCCTTTAAATCTTCAAACTCTATAGCGATAATCCTTCACGTTTCTTTTACATGAGTTTGTTCTCAAGAGTCGTAATTTTTTACTTTTATTCCTTGTTTCCATCAAAACCCCGTTGTTATATTTCACTTTTAATTGCACCTGTGACATTTATTCTTCTACAACATCGTTAGAACATTTTATCTTTTCATTCGTTCTTTGTCGATCGGACATCGTCATATGTGTTGCTTACATAAATTATATATGTACGTTGATTTCTGTTTTTTATTCGCATACAGCATGTCACGGTTGATCCTTAAATACAACTGTTTCAATGATATTTATCCTTCTCAAGAATACACAAACAGCCATCCATACTATTTGTAGATTTTTCCAGCACAATCCGACAATAAATCTAAAATGTCGACGAGAATTCATTATTTTACAAGTCACCCAAAAAATTGGTGCACAGAATATTCATATCGATTCGTCCTCGTGTAAACCAAGCCCAAACATATTTTATCCTATCGCTGCAAACCCCTTGCGTTGTATGCATTTTTCGCTGCAATGACATTGTTTCATAATTCAAAAGTTAAAAGAAAGTTACAATTGATGCTTTGTAGATTGGAAGGGTGTTGTGGCGATGTTCTTGAAAATCCTTGCTACTTGAAAACGAATCTATTTTCGATTGTTTAGGCTCTCTTTCTAAAACGTTTTTCTATACAGTATTTGTTTTATAGTACACGTATGTATACAATAAACATTGAATCAATGTTTTTGTTTTTTTTTTTGTCATGTATAAAGAAGTGTATCTTACTATAGATAATATCATTGAAATATTACACCAATGTCCAATACCTTTTCATGGATAAGCGCATATCTTTAAACAGGAATTGGAACGATATGTTGCCGAAGCCCAACGAGGTGTCATTTATTTTTCACTGGGCTCTATAGTGAAAAGTTCATCAATACCAGACGCTCAATTGCTGGCATTGCTCCAGGTGTTCGGCCAACTGGATGGCTACAGAGTACTTTGGAAATGGGAGGACAATCCTCCATCGCCAAAAATCCGTCCCAAAAATGTCATGTTTATGCCGTGGATGCCTCAGTTTGACGTACTCAGTGAGTGAACGATTAAAACAGCATAATTGTTTTAAATAAAAAATAATACATTTAAAAAATTGCCTCTTAAAAATTGTGATGGTGGTAGTAGTGAATATATTGTATTTTCGATTGAATCGCACAATATAAAAATACGTATTAAAGACACTTCAAAGTAGCCTAGAACCTACCATATGTGCAATATTCAATCACTCAAATATAGCATATGGTGTTCATAAAGCGTTTTTTAGAGGATTTAATGTAAACAATTTTAATGAAACGTAAAATTAAAATATTTAAATAACAGTTCAAAATATTTTACAGTTTAACTCAAATGGTCCTAAATCATCGCCCATGTTGGTTATTGCGTAATTACAAAATCACATTAATTAATACGTGTTGACCTAGTTTGGTTATTTCTGTTTCTAATGCAATTTTAAAGCTAAAACACATAAAATCGAAAAAGAATAGTACACATTTTTCATATTTTTACTCTTTTTTTAAACAGCTTCAACTTTTTTGTTGTACCTATATTATTTTTAAAAAACTTGTTTTCATCATCTGAGACGCCAAAAAGTAATTTTTATTTCGATTATCGATGCGTTACGTAATCTCGTTAGTTGTTACTACTATTATTAGTAGCACCTAAACTTGTATCTATTAAATTACATTGCACTGCAGTACACTACACATTTTTGATAATCTAAAAAGAAATAAAGCAATATAAAACTAACATTTAAGGATTTTTAAAATAAAAAATAGTGATCATCGCTTATTTTAAAATACATGGATGGGTGTGAGCTGTGAGACTACCATTTAATAGCATTTCCTTCTCAGGAATTTGTATTCTGTATTTAATACAGAATCACGTAAAATTGAATATATGTTTTTATAAAAAAAAGTATTTTGTTTATTATGTTCACACGTACCGCCATTTAATGAGTTCAACTCGTGTAATTTTCGAAGCAAATCTGTTAAACGATCTCGGTTTACGATATCTGTGAAAAGCTATATCACCAATAAGTATAAGAATATTATTCAGATTACGAGCAATGAACACAAATAGGCGATATAACAATACATCAAATTAAACGCTGACAAGATGTATTTGACACGAACAGAAAGCACTGTCGCACTTCGGCAAAAAGTGTTTTTTGTTAATTCAATTGACTGTTTCTACAAATTGTTGTTTTCTGTGTCACAACTACAATAATAATATATTGTTTATTTCTAAAATATTTTATATTAACGTATTTATGACTTTCATGTAACGATTTTTAATTTAATTAAAATGCTAATTTTATATATATATATACTCGTATTATTCATAATAAATACAAAATAGATAGATCAATATAACATGTTCAAAGTTATAAAAACGGTAGACGGGTTTACCAACGGTGTTGTATAAATAAGTATCCATGATAAATATAAACATAATATTATGAATTAGTACACAATTGTCTATAATATAAGCAACTTATGCACGGCCTCTAAACAAACCACTAGGTATTGTGCGCCAGCAATTCTCGTCGACTAGTTCGTGGTATACACAGTCGTCCCGTCGGATGCTGGAGTCCTGTTAGGTTATCATGTACTATGTGATCACCAACTACGATACCAACTTTAACAACTTTCTGCGTCAGGCTGTTTCTAAACTTAAGACCCCTTTCACTAACAATATTTCATACCACCATTCAAACTATAATAATAAACACTGGTCACTAAAAATTTTTATCTGTATTGTAATAATTATTATACCTGACAATATAAATGCATAACCGGGTTCAGTTGTGCATTTTTCGATTAACATTGCTCGACCACTTCTACCTCATTTTGTTTTCCTATCCATAAGTTAAAATGTATATTTGGTTCACTTAACTCTAAAACACTCTAATTAGTTAATTAGCATTGCCGCTGATTATTAATTTGTATGTGGAACACAAACATTGCGAATATGTACCTATACAATTCAATTAAACGGATAACTACCTACTTCGTTTGACACATCAATATACGGTTAATAAATTAACTTTCTACCTATGTAAATAATTTCAAATAGCCTCATTACATATAAGAAAAAAACTCATGACTTGTAGCAAAAATCTCAATGTAGAATAACATGGCATCGATTAGTATAAAATAATAGTAAATAATTATACAAAATGTATTTATGTTATACATTACGAGAGTAAAAATTTTATTTTGTTTACATGTACAATTTAAAATATAATCTAGAAATAAAAATAAAAATTTAATGCAATTTATAATTTTAAATGTCTATTGTAATTGATCATTTATGAAAATATTAAACACTAAAATTCCAACGGATGATTTGCTAGCTATGTTTAATTTTTATATTATTCATACTATTATTATTATCATTATTCGTACATAGAAATAAAACATTTTTTGAAAATGTAATAGCAAAATTATTTCAGTTTTTGTACACAAACACAGTTTTTTTTTTTTTTAAATTATTTATTTGACTATACCAACCGGCCAATTCGTGAATTATAAATAAGTACCTGTTTATAATTTAATATTAATATTGATTATTCTAATTAAATAGTCTATATTGTCGCTTAAAACTATAAAAACACGATAATCATCACGTGTTGTACTGAGTTTATACCTACTTATCTATCATTTATATTTTATATTAACATCATTATTATCCAAAAAACCTAAACACTAATCATTTCGATCATCTGTTAATTATTAATTACCAAAACACATTAATTAATAGTAAAAAGTTACTTTTATTACATAGATTTCGATCATTTTTATAAAATAATAAAATTACAGTTATAAGCGACAACTAAATTATCCAATTTAAATAAAAAATACAGGAATTGTAAACAAATATGAATACTATAACCCCATGTTGAACAATAATACCTTATACCTAATTAACGTCTTAATTTAAACAATTTACTTCTTTAATTATTATTAACATTTATTACATAATGAATTAAAATGAAATTGTAAACTACAAATTTTTATTTAATTTTCAATTTATTATTTATTACTTAATTTAGATATCCAGTATAAACTATTAATATACTGGATTTTTATCTATTTAAATTATGAAAGTAAATATTATAAACATTAACATCCCAAACTAAGATTTTGTATAGCAATACGCTAAAAAAAAAAAACTTTTTTAAATAATACAACATCCAAATAATAATATTACAGAGCAAATTATATTTTGAAATATGTAAGAAAATATATTTAATTATAAATTATATCTAGATATCTATGTATCCATTTTATGAGCACAAAATACTAAAAAAAATAAATGTCAAAACATGTATTTAATAAAAAATACTGAATAATTACTAAGACACTCAGCTGTATAGTAGCCCTGTTTCTGGTATATAGGTATTAGGTACCTTGTCATTGAGTAAGCTACTGGCTACTATAATAGATATGTAAAATTCAATGATAATAATTACATAACATGTGCGGCTATTCACAGAAATATTATAATTTAAGTTCTGTTTTTTTTATTGTATTTAATAAAATTCTAACGCTATATTTTCTTTTGATACTTAAATATTGTTTTATTTTTAAACGATTTTTTATAAAAAACTAATTTTTATTTAATAGGGGCCATGTGCCTGTACTCAACGATCCTTTTACTAATGACCGTATTCTATAGTCTAAACTGAAGATAATGATGTCCGGTGTGGCAGTACCGACCGGTCACTCTTATCTACAGTTATATAACAATAGTATCTTATTTATACACTCACGGTAATGAACATTATATTCATTACATACGAAAAACAGTTCTGAACAGAGATGGTGTGTCAACCTCTAATTAGGTTTATTTTATAATTTATTAATATATTTAAATAAAGATAAGTAATTTTGTTTTATTAGTTTTACAATAGTTTTGACTAATTTTTTCAAAATATATTTATTATAGGTACGTTTATTATGATTTATAATGATTGGTGCAATAAATATTGCTTAAAATTAGTTGAAATATTTTGAAAATTTTACTGTACCTATGTAGAAAATAATACTTTATGTAATCCTGAAAAATTGAAATCTTTCGATTAATATATATTTTTTTAATTACTACAAATTAATAAATTAAATCGTTTTTCGTTTAAATATTTATTTCATAAAATTCAGAACTTCGTGTATCGTGTGAATGTACTTTAACCATATTTAAATTGCTTTAAGTACAATTTATGAGATATACCGTTTTAAATTTTCAAATTATTTAAACAGTTAAAAAATGTTTGTCAACATATTTTGAAGAAAAATTAGAATAATTCGAAAATTTAAAATAAACTTTTAGATTTAAAAATTTATTTTCAGCAATTTCTACAATACAAAAGTATTTTCAGTAATATAGTTACGAAAGTCTTACGTTAATAATCATTACCTACTGAAAAGTAAATAAGATCTATAAAAGTTCATTTTAAATTTATTTCAACTTCTGTAGTGAAAACTTGGGAAACTTAATTAATTCATTATACAAATTAAAGAGTAATTTAAAAAAAAAGTCATTCAAGTCAAAATGTGTAATGACAGTTATTATTATAATTGGTATTATTACCTATTATCAACGAAAATGAATATTAAAACGATTGTAATAATTATCGTCAATCTGAAAATAATAATATTATCATTGAAAAACATATTATTTTCAAAGTTATCAATACTATTTTACGTCTTTTACCATTATATAATATACTATCGTTATTACACAGATATCGGAAATATTTCATAAAAATATCGGTTAGCTAGTGTTTCTTGCCAAATCGTGTTAATTATCATTTATCAATAATAATTAATTATATATGTAAAAAAAAAAATAAAATATAAACCATAAAAAATATTTCATTTTTTTATCGTATTTTAATTCGTTGAAAACACATTATATTGTACAATACTTAATAAACGTAAAAAAATCACAATAGTCATGAACCCTGTATCATACAATATGTCTACAGGAAAAGGGGAAAACACCAGTCATGTATCACAGAAACATACAGTAATATAATATAACAATAACTATATACGAATATATGTTTTCATAACGAAAGTATTACTATACTTATGTTCGTGCTCGGTTTTGCTTACATCTCTCAGTTTTAGTGTAAAGCATAATAATTATTGTTTGAACATTAATTTACGGAAATATAGAGATGTGTATAATGCATTATATTTACAATACAAGCATAAGTCAAATTTTCATCAAATCATATTTCAAAACCAACATCCTAGACAGGCAAACAAATTAAATGACAGTTTAATAAAAAGCATGATAATGTGTGGTATATAATTTATTTTCGTGATTACTGTCAACGTGTAATATCGAAAGTTGATGACTAATGGGTAAAGTTTGTTAAGGTAATGCTTTATTTTTTTATTTGTGGTAAAAATGTTTCGTTTTTATATATATTTATTTCGTATAATTCTTATAATTATAATTTGAAATAAATCAAAATTGTTTAGCTTTTTTATTTATAAATAAATGCCTTTTCAATTATTCCAATTTTTAAAACTTTGTTATAATGTTATTAAATTACGCAATAATAGTAAACAACTTTTTATTAAATTATTGCAAAATGAAGAATAAATGCAAGTAATACCTTATTTATATTACTTGATATTATATACAATAAACTGTGTTTTTATTTTAAATGAAAGAAAAATTAATAAAAAAAAAATTCTCAGAATCAATATTTATACTTTACACACAATTAATTATTTATTATAAAGCACTACATAATATATAATAATATAATAATCAAACTCCATATCAATTTCCAGAAATAATATTGAAATAGAAATATTTATAATTAAATATAAACTCTCTTCGATCTCCATTCTCCCATTCTCCATAAATCCTTCATATAATTATGAACAAAAAAATTTATCATTCTAACTATGATTATGATTTATAAATATAATTTAATCTGATATACCGATTTAATTAATAGTTTTATTTATGCGCAAGCAAAACAAGTAACTGATATTTCAATACCCAACATAATATTAATATAATATCGTTTAGAATACGACGACATAATTAATTGCACAATCAGTGTAAATATTATACATAATATTATATGAGTCTTACATGAACGAATAAATGTGTTCAATCACTAACTAACAATGTATATTATTTCAAACGTTTCAATAGAATAAACGAAGACCGTAATTTAATATATTATAACTCCATTTTATAAATTTTATTTAACTTGGATCAAAAAAAAAAAAAAAAAGATTATATTAATATATTAATATTATATTATAATATCATACAAGCATTCGGCGTTCTACGATGTATTCATAACACTAATGTAACTAAATAGCTTATCTATAAAACTATATGACCATTATTTTATGATTAATATGAGTTAATATATATAAATATGTATATTCATCAAAAGTCTACAAAACATTACTGACCGTTATATCGTATTCTAGATCACCCGAACGTCAAATTGTTTATATCGCACGGTGGTCTAATGGGAATATTAGACGCTCTTTATTCGGGCGTGCCCATTGTCGGCATACCCATGTTCGCCGATCAATTTTCAAACATGAACTTTATCGTCCAAAACGAATGGGGACTGCAATTGCAACTCGACCAGATCGACACAGAGATTGCTAACTACACGATATCTTCTATACTCAATGATAATAAGTGAGTACCTATACATATAATATATATACGTAATACTCTAGGATGGATATGCGTCAATTGATCGTAAACAATTGACCGCACGAGACAATTTATCGTAAAAATAACACTTAAGAATTCTAATTTAGGATTGTCTGTAACTTATCAAATAGTTACAGGTATGATTAAAAATACTTATTTTTTTCTTTTTCTTATTAGATTAAAAATTTTTAAAAATCGTTGATAAATATATTATGTTGAAACTAATTTACAATTAAAAGTTATATGCAATCCCTCGTAGAAAATATTCAATACTTGTATAACTGTTAAATATATATATATATATTTTAGCTGCTCGATCTCGATAAATTTTATTTTTAGGGAGCTTGTTACCCCTTACATATATTGTTCGGTTTTCAATCTGTTAATGCTCTCTTTTTTTTTTTTTTTTTTTTAATACATCTATAAATCACCAAATTAAAAAATACATACCATTTATTAGTGGTGTGAAAAAATTATTACGCCACCATTCTATGCCATAATTTTCGGTAACTAAATCTTGAATTACCCTTAAAAAACAGTTTCATACTTTTATAGCATACTTTATTGGTTTTCTTTTTTCTCTCCTATCTAATTTTCCTACCCGTGTACCTACTTTTGAAATAACCTAACAGCTGTGTAGTTCTTCATTATCTGTATAATAACTTTTGGCTAGTAATGTGTTGTTACATTTTATTACGTCTGCTTCTGGAATAAAAGCTAATGCTAGTAGCATTCGAATTCGTAGTGAAAACTCAAGATCATTTCGATAAGTTGTTTGTAGGCCCAATTTTGAACATATCACCGAGCACATTCCAACATATGAAAGAAACAAACTTTTGCTTCAGTATCAATAAAAATATGAATTATCTATATAACTGCGTTTCCTAAAACTAAATGTGTGCTGAGATTTTTTTGTGATGCATTTTTCTTTAAAGTTTAAATAACTTTTTTCGCTTCAATTTTTGTAGAATTTGGAACGTGATTGTAATGTTCAGTAAATGTTACGATTTTTTCATCTACTACATGAGCTCTACCTTTACAATGACTTTTATTTTTTATTCTGAACATTTCCAATATATTTTATTTTCATGTTCTCGTCCTTTTACGTGTAAAAAACCTTCATCATTCAGCATATTTTTATTATTTTTTTCACTTAAAACATACTCTAAATCCGTATTCTATCTATAACCAAAAATAAAATCTACGGTACTTCAGCTGCACGAAGTTATTAGTATACTGATTGACAATTGTGTCAGTAATGCTAAATTTTTGTAGCATTTTATGGTTAGGTCGATATGGACTGGTAATATATCTGTACGATATACGAATATAACGTTAGATGAGATTTGATACTTGAAATTTAACGATCAAATAATGTACCAAAATAGATATTATTTTTACGATAAATTTACGATACATAAATACTCTAATCTCACCTAGAGTAAATACGATAAGACGTTAATAATTTATATTTTATACATATGTACATGCAACATAATCATAATATTAGTATAGAGCCCATCCAAAATTACTTGTTAATAGCGGGTTATTAATCAAGACATTCACGTTGTGAAATAATGAAACGACATTGCGCGTTAATCTATTGTGTCATACACTTCATTTTACTAACAACGCACCATTAATACTAACTCTTATAATATTAATTAAAGAGCATTCAACATAATATAAATGTTGTACAATACATTTCACGTAAACTATGTAATAGTATAATTTAAGTGTTTCGGATAAGTTTTCTAGCATTGTTATATTATTAGTATATTATTAAGTAAAACCTCAATTGATACGATTTGATGAAATATTTTTGGAATTTTATTGTTTTACGTTTTAACAGAAAATCATTAACCTTGGACATGAACACTAGAGGCCCGTTTGACAAACGAAATTTGTAGACAATATAAAGCGCAGTAGCATACCGATAGATGAAAAAACATATGATTATTATTAAGCCATCTACAGTTCTCACCACTCTATGTGATACACTGGTACATCCTTCTTACTCATTGAGATTCTTGCGCGATCCTGTCAAACTGTATGATTATTGTATGCTCCGTTTCATGTTTATTTACATAATACTATTTACGGTAACTAGATATTTATCATATTGATAATAATACTTAGGTAGGTAAGTCGGTATGTTAAACGCATTCCTATTTTTTACATAATATACTTATATACTACAACTGTAGTTGAATAAGGTATAAATATGTGGCTTATTATTATTATTAAATCTTTGTAACGAAGGTTGTATTTTGCTACTTCACAGTAGTATGAATATAATAAGCGAGCCAGCGTACATACGTCTTATTGTTCGTATTATGCTATTATCAAAACGTCAACACCGGACGTAAAGACGATACGTTTCTGTTTCTATCTAATTCTCTGCGTCGTTGATAGCATATTATACTATGCATTGTCATCTGTACAGTACACGCAAAACCTACCTATATTTTTATCATCCTCTCCCTCTCACGAACATACAAAACTCAAAAACTTTGTTTAAAAAAAAAAATGTACAAGCCGTTTTCTTGTGATACATATTTAGTACTTACATATAAATATTAAATAAACTCAAAACCAAATTATTTTAGACATTTTAATCTCAAATCGATACGCTAAAGTTTAGCAGCTAAGCACTATCTTATCACATCAAATAATATTATTTTATAGTGTAATTAAATATGAATGATCATTGGAAAAATACAAAAGTTAATACATCATGATCCACTCGTGGCCGTGGTTATTTTCATATCAGTTATGTACAGAAAACTCTATATTTATGTATGTATTTGTGTATTAATAAATTGAGTACTAAATAATATGATGTATAATAAATGATAAATTAATAATTCACATATTATATCCTTAACGAGTCATACATGATCTTAGTTAGATTACTAATAAAAATAAAATAGACTAATTTTTTAAATACTTAGCTGACATTTTAAAATGTTGTGAACAAAAGAGAGATAATTTTAGAATTCTATACTCACCACAATATCCCCGAAATTTATCAATACTCTAAACGACTAATCGTTAACGACCCAAGTAAATATCAGCACACAACGCTTAAATTGTGCGCAGGATTGTGCTTGTACTACTGAACATCAGGCTTAATATAATAAACTGACAGACATAACTTATAGACTATATATAGATAGATGCATAGATGAACGGGTGTTTCCTGACTGCCGCCCTCCGAAGACTGGTCACTATCGAGGAGGTTCTTAACTTGAATATAGTACATGTTCAAATATTTATTTTGGCCAATAATTTTAATCATTTGATGTTTGATTCAATGGTCAAGTCCCTCTTCAGACATTAAATCAAAGTTGAGCAAAATAGCAATATTAGTCGTAAATTATTTTATTAAATAAATCATTCAAATAACGGCGTAACTAAAATCGATTAGACAGTATGATCTTCTGTCAAGCTGTTTACTTAGATTGATAACCAGACTCACTTACTCTGAGTTATTGAGTAAAAAGGCTAATTAAATTTGTGATATTGATTATTTACAACAAATCACACGCGCAATTTGTTTTTTTTTTCTATGATTTATACAATCTATTTGAATAATGAGTATATTGCGTAAATAATGTGTTATAGCATTATATATTTTTAATATTTTTTAATATTTTAAATATATTTTTTATTTTTTTTTAATATAAATAGATTACAGATATTTCTGAATGGTGCATTTTAAATTTGTATGATACTATTATTATTTATTATATTTTACTTTATCAGGTACGCGAAAAACGCGAAACGACTATCGGCACTATACCGGGATCGTGATCGAGACCCGCTGGAAAAAGCTGTGTATTGGATCGAATATGTTGCCAGAAATCGAGTCAACCTGATGCTTAAGCCGACCATTCAAGACTGGTGGTACGAACGATGTTTACTAGATGTGGTTTCTGCAGTGTTCGTTACTGTGGCCTTTACGGCATACCTAGTAAAATGGGTTCTATCCAAAAGTAAAAGTCAAAACGCTACTACTACTAATCAGTGATCATCAAAAATACCGTACTGTACTCAAGAATCCAATAATGGACCACCATATTGAATACCTTTGATCAAGACGTGGTTTGTAATATCCAAACACAGAGGACCATGTATCGAATTGAATAAATTTTGTCATGCAGTGCCATGGAATGAATGAATGTTTTTAGGGAAATGTCACTTACATTTCTGTATCTAGGTATAAAAAAGGAAATTAGGATTTTCAAAAATGGTATGATACACCTGTATCAATAAATTCAGCAAACTCTGACCCTTTTTTTTAATCAGAAAGTCTTATTATTTAATTAATTAAACAATATAGATAACATACAAAACATGTCGTGTACATTTATATTTTAATTTTATACATAAAATAAATTATTATTTTTTATTGTATTAATTGTTCTCCTCTTTTTAGAAAGACAAAAAGCTCATTTTCAGTTTATTACAATGGTACGTTAAAATCATGTTACCTAAAACTATTCTTCTTACCACAATTAAATGTAAGTTATGTTAGGTACCAGTTTCCGGATGTCTAGTACCTTTGTATGGAGAAGATACCTATGTTAATTAATTGGAAAGTCTATAGTTTTTATTCAAAATGTATTGTGAATATTTTGGTGCAGTTTATTTCAGTGTAATGTATTGTAAAAATAATCTACGTTCCTTTCAATATGATTTATTGAAAAAAATTGTCAAAACCTACTTTGTTTTACCTACCATAGTTTTGAAATCTTACGATACCTATTTTATATTTTAACGATATTTAACTTTATTAATTAGTTAATAAATAGTTTAATTTACTACTCTGGAGTAGTAGAGTACGTAGAAATAATTTTAAAAATGTATAATATTGCAACAAATATCAACAATTTTGTACAACTTGCCTGTAATTATTAAGAACTGAGAAAATAGTAATATTTTACAACACCTATGACGTATTTTCGGAACTATAAATTATTCTTGTTTATTCAAAAGTAAACCTATTTTTTTTAATGTTATTTTCTTTCTTAAAATATCAGTAAAATATTCTAAAAACATTTTACATATTTAATATTTTTATTTTTTTTATTATAGTATTTGTATATGAAAATTAATATCAAATTAAAACTCATAATAATTATTAATATTTTCTTATTTATCTTTTATTTAAAACACCAACTATGTATTGTAATACTTATACCATAAAACACACGAATACATTACACACTATCTATAAATAACATGAATTATTTTAATTAAATTACCCCTATACGAGTACACCGCATAGCAGACAGGTATTTTATAAAGTTTATTTTTGCTCACAGTAAGTACCTATTGTATGTATACTTTATAGTGCATATAAACATAACTCTTGCTCTCTGTCCGTGATTTATTTAATTGCAATAAAAACAACAGCATATAAATATACTGACTTTGTTGCATTTGTTACTTACGGTTACGTCATCCAAAAGGTTTAAGTAACCAAGTATACATAAATATATATTTGACTTAAGTTTATGGTTTAAGGTAAAAACGTTTTTATCTAATCGACTCTTAAAAACCCCATTTATCTTAATCAATGCGTTACCGAATACTAAATCTAACGATTATTTTAGATTCTGATCATTTTTATCAACTGTTCCTTTAGTAATGCAATTTACGTGTCTTACTACTTTTTTTTTTTTATTGATGTCTTTGGACGTTTTCAAGCTTTGTCCAGAGCTTTATTTATGTGTTCCATTTCATTCTTATATGTAAATACGTCATATATAAGTAAATCGATTCTTAATCTTTTTTAAATTATAAATTTATTTTATCCCAACTTCGAAATTTTGGTATTATTTTTAGTTATATTTAACGTATGTATGGCTGTATGTCCATATATTACGGACTTGACCATTTAATTAATATTAATTTATACTCCTATTATGTATATATTCAATTATGTAAAGTATAAAATATCATAAAACTATTTTCATAAAAGCTCAAAAACACGATACTTGTCAATCAATGATTAGTTTTTAAGATTATTCTGTGCTTTAATATTTTTATTTTTTTATTTTTATTTTTTTTTAATTTCATTGTCACATTACAATAAAAATGAACAATTTTTATATTAAGGTAAGGCCAACATTAATCTGAACTACCATTCAAAGTACGATATAAATTATATTTTTAATAAACTATAAATATAGTTTATTAATATCTGTTTACAAAAATTGACGAGTAAATAATATAATAAGCAAAATATACTCATTTAGACTTATAATAATATAAAAAACGCATGTAACTCCGTCCCTTTGTTATTTTTATATATTGTATGTTAAAACATCAAATTAAAAAAGGTGAAATTTTGTTCATGACTGGAGATTGTGTCAACAAAGAAATTTGACAAGGTTTAATTTCAAAGCTGAGTGTATGATTAAAAGACCTGACGCCATGCGACATCACATCATATGTGCATTTAAAATGTATAAATGAAAGAATTAAGGTAAATATTACCCTTAGCGATAAAATCTTTTTATCTGCCGCTTGCCACTCGCTCAAACACTCAAGAAGTTATTTTTAATTTACCAATTCTTCCACGGAGATAACTTAAACATTATATTAGACTATATCAGTGGTTCTCAACCTTTTTATACTCACGGCGCATTTCTTATAACTTTACAGTTTGACGAAACACTATAGAAATTAAATAATAAGAAGCAAACAAAAAAAAGACATTTTTATTTTAATTATATATGATTAAAAATTAATACCTAAAACACTATATGCATGTACCACAATCGCGATACACAAGTGTGTCGTGGAACACTGGTTGAGAAACACTGGACTATATATTGTCATTACATTTTTACACTGTGCGTATTAATCGAATAAATATTAATAAAATAATTAAAAGCTTAACTTAGAAAATATTTTTAAATATTCTTAAGTCTGATAATATTGTTTTTCGTTTCATTCATTTTTATCACTATTACTATTACTTTTTGCAAATATTTCTATTCTTTTTATAATTCTTTCATACCACATTTTTAACTGATTATATATTTTTAAGCAAATTTAAAATACTTTCTGTCTAATATTTTATATCAATACATAAGTTTCTAACTACTATTTAGTGCTTATGATAAAAATCAAATTATATTTTATTTTTAAATTAGAATTTTTTTTTTATTCAATTAAAAGTATTATACATTTTAAACTTTATTCCAATTAATCTTAGTTGGGTACAAATATTATTTAATATCCATTTAAATTAAGAACATTTCAGAAGTTTGAAAATCATTTAGTAAAATAATGACTTCTAAACAAATTTTTGGAACTATGCGATAATATACACGCTTCTGCAATGATTGATTGCCTATTTACATCACATGTTAAATATTCAAGATTGCTTGCATTAATGTCATCACTTTGTAACTTTCCTTTCTCAAACTCGTTTATTATTCAATATTTAGTACCATGTATACCATGTATATAATATTATACTTAGACTAGTTAAAATAAGATTTCCATCAAATATCAATTTTTAACTTGTATTGTGTTTAATTGATAGTATAGTTTTATCATTTTTTATAATCAAATTTAATTATAACATTATATAAATATAACAGTTTTCTAATATTTTTAAACAAATATTTTATTTAGTTTCTAATTAAACAAACTTAATTCCATGTGTTATGTTACTTATTTTATTTTATTTGTAATTTGTTATCATCAGTAAATTTTTATTGTATTTATTTGGCTTTATAACTAAATTCATACAGAAATTCATATTTGTTAAATTAAACAACATAATATTATCTACGTACAAAATATATGTTATTTAAGTATTCAGAATATTCAAAACACTAATATATAAAAATAAATGCAAAAACGAAAACCAAATTAAAAGTAACATGGAAAATATTTTAAACGTTATTTATTACTTTAATGAATAATTTCAGCGATTTTTTTAAAAATATTTTATTTTCATTTAACTTATTATTTATTGATAAAACCAAAGCCTTATCCGAATAAGTAACAATACATTTTTTTTGTCATTTAATCGACACATGTTTTGATTTACAAAATATGAGTATATACAAAACAAGCAATATTCCATCCACGTACAATTCAATTACAATTAAACTGTTTAAAAAAGTTTTCAAACTCATTAAATTAAACTTGTCCAAAATAAAAATCGTATTAAAATGAAACGAATAAAAATATAAATTTAAGTAAATTGCAAAACGTTACTAACCAAACGAAAATGTCTAATAAGTTTTTTTGTAAGGCCCCGTCAATACAAATCATTAAACATTGACATCTGATGCTGTAATATCAATACGGTATAAAAATTCGCGTACGAGACTCAAGCTCGCTAAACAATAAATTCCACACAATGATAATATTACATAGTTCGAAATTATCGAGAACACGACAAAGGGCAAAACAATTTTAGACGATTATGAAAATAATTACCATCGCGAAAAATGATTGGAAAACAGTTATGATCAGAATTAATAAAAAATGTTTCGTGTCTCATAAACAGTATGTATTTATATGCTCTACAACCATTTTCATTTTTCACGCAGTCATCATACTAAGTTCAAGGCGAAAAACTCCGCTCACACGTCATAAATTTTTAACGAACACAATTTACTAGTAAATTACATAGACATTAATCGTAAATTTCACGTTCACACAAAACTATTTACCGTATTTTGTTTTTTAAAGTAAGAAAAAACACAAATTACGATGTAACCAACATGTATTTTAATATGACTACGGTAAATAATTTGGTGTGAACGTGAAATTTACGGTTAAAGTCTATGTAATCTTCCATAAATTGTGTTTTGGGGAAAATGATGACCTGTGAACGGAGTTTTCCACCTTAAACTTAGTGCGATTACTACGTGAAAAATAAAAACAGTTGCAAAATATAAAATATATTGTATACTACTCTCATACGCTACGGACCATCCAAAAAATTTTACAAACATACGAGAAAAATTGAATTAAGTACAACGCACGATCGTCGCGTAAACACACACACAAGTGCGTGTACGCGTGTACCTACATTGTACATACATCCATCTCTATAGACTGTTATATATTATATATATTTATAAACATTATATTTTATACGATTACGCTGCGTCAAATTCGCTTACTCTTTTGTGGTAGAACAATGGAGTTTCTATTTCTTTATAATACACCAATAATAGTGAACGTGTTTATTGATATTATTTTTTGTGTACACCACAAATGATAATATTACACATTGTTAACTATAATATAATCCACTAATGTTAAACACTTTTAGTAATTTTAATGTATTTATTTCCCATCATAATACAGCTATAATGACAGCTATGTTATAGGCACAGTTTAAGAAAAACAATAATATTATCGAGCATAAAATATATCTTGTTTGGCGTTTGAATAATGTTACCCATTAAAACTATGATAGGTGCTAATATTAATATATAATACTAAAATATTTATACGTAGTTTGTAAAAAAAAAACAAAACAAAAATATTTTCCAAGTTATTATTTTACGTAAAATTGTTCAAAAATAATCAAGTAAAATATATTTATTGATGTTCGGTAGAGTGATCGTTTTTAAATTTCTACTATACAATAATCCTTTTAAGGTATTGATATCATTTATTGATTTAATTTTTAATATGATTAAGTAAAATTAAATTCTCTTCACTTCATAAAAATCAACATTTTATAAAAAGATAAGAAAAAAACATACACGAAAAATGTAAAATAAACACAAAATTAACATATTTAATTGCAAAACATTTTATACCTACTTACTATAATATTAATAATCAAAATATGAATTAATTATCTGTCCTAGATAGTAACAGTACCTATATAGGTATTTGAAAATATTGGGTGTAACTGGTATACCTAAGCAAAATAAAATTTTACAACGCAGCTGATTTAGAAATTATACAAGGAGCACAAAAGTTTACGAGATAATCATGTAAAACT